TCAACAAAAGATATTGTATTACAATGAAAAGAGGGCTACAAGGAAACAACTAAGTTAATACAACTAATGTTTTCAAAAACAATGTCACAAGTCGACATGTAGTACTACAAAAGGGTTGCCAATACTTATTAGACATTTGTCCTGCTCTAAAAGCATTCATCCTTTCTGTCCTGGGTTAGCAATCAAGCATGCTTCCAACCGAGCTCAAAGTACAAACTTAAAATTTACCACCTACTCATCTACAATTATTATTCTTTCATAGTAAACCACAAGAGAAACAAAATCATGGAGAGATGCACTGTTTCATTTCAATAACAAAAGTTTCGGTAGGCTGAATATCTTATATAGTCCATTTATGGGGTTTTAATTTCACTGATACTTATAGCTTATAAAAGACTGATATTCAAACTTTTGAATTATTCACATCTCTAATTTCAGCAATACTTAACACTCCTCTTCCCACCCCTCCCAACAACAAACAAAGGATGTATGAAGATAGTTTTCTTAAGTACCACATCTCAAAATACCTTTAGAGAAACTTTCTGAGGGGAAGCAGGGAACTGTTTATGAAAACAGACTTCATTTACATGGACAATTTTTATTCCAGTCATCACTAGTTAACAGTAGGAAGCGAAATTCATAATTTCTTAAGTTTTAATACTGGAAATATATTTTTTTACATAATAACCTTGGTAAAGGAAGTAATTAGTTCAGACGAAAGAGAAAACTTGAATGCTTCTTGACACATGAACGTTGTTAAATGCTTCATTTTTTTATGAGCCACCTTATTTTTTAAAACTTGGTTTTTCCTGAAAGCTATTTAAATTGACTGTTCTGGCCTCTGGGAGAATCTCAGGCCTGGGACAGTAAATTACATGCTACACTAAACTTTCTAGTACAGTTTTTTATTTCCCCCTCAAGGACCTCAGACTTAAATAGTCTCAGCATTCCTTTAATCCTATAGAATAGCCTTCTGCAAGTTTTTCAAGTTACTTTTGCAATCACTTTAGGGCCTTGTCCTTGTACGTGGACTTCGAAACAAAGACTAGGTCAAAATAATGAATACTGGATGCAAATTAATCAAATTCTGTGGAAGGATATTATCAAATAAACCTTACTGGTACTTTTTGTTGTTGTTGTAATCCAGAGATTTTGTGGGTTTAAATGTAAAAATAAAGTAAATGCAGCAGCAGTCTTAGCTCAGACGAAACAAAAACAAAAAACCAAAAAACAAAACAAAAATACCTCCAAAGTATGTTTACGTCACTAATTTAAGCAGATACTGAACAGCAGCATTATGCAAATAACATTTCAAGCTATGTCTAATATTTCCTAGAATGAAGACTAGTTAGCATGAAGATACATGCGGGTATTGCATGTTTACCAAGTGACAAGAATGAAAAGGCTTCCTAAATTCCAGACAAAATACTTAGTAACTTAGCCATCCGAAAAACATTAGCCTAGACTTTATCAAAGGATAGCCGTCTCTTCAAGTTGATGTCTAGTCTAAGCCACCACTATTCATGACACAAAGCTCTCATTTCACTAAAACCACTCCTCGATTTCCTTTTGCCGACCTCTGCATACCAGCAGGCCGGTCTCTCTTCATTCACCACTCACAAACTGGGGGGGACGGGGGGGGGGGGGGGGGGGGTCCACTCCGCTGAAAACCAAACGTGCTCTAAAATTCAAGTTTAGCTGCCGTAAAACTATGTAAATACATCATTTCTACGAACGCAGTCAGAGGCTGAACACCGGGGTTCAACTGGCAAGAAACAGGAAGGCAGTCGCCCCAGCCCTCGTTTTTACTGGGGTCTCACACCCGATGCCATCCATCCGACCAGAGTCCACGGCACGGCGCGTTCACTCACCTGCACGGCACGAAAACACAGGTGTGCAAGGCACGGATTTCACGGGTGCAAATCCTACCGACGCATCGCGCCGTCTGCACTAATAGTTCGGTTCCTCTAGGGTTTAAAGTTGCTTCGATTTAAACAAGCGCCAGTGCCAAACTCACAGGCACGGCGCTAAAAAAAAAAAAAAATACTAACAATTCTCTTAAAGAATTTTCCTTAATGACGAAGGAGGGACTCTGGAGAGAAAGTCCACCAGCCCCGTCCCCTTGGCAGATGGGACCTGGGGTGGTGTCCCAGGCCCGGCGCCCGTACCCCAACTCCCCGCTGGGAAGGCGGAGCCCCCCGTCCCCACCCCGCCCCCCACCCCGAAACCAGAGTGCCCCCCGCCCCCCGCCGGCCATCCGAGCTCCCGGACGCGCCCTCGCGGCGCCCCCTCCCCGCAAGCGGCGCCCCCGGGGCTCCCGAGAAGCAGGGTGACCGAAACCCGGGCCCGGCCGCCGCCCTCCGCCCCCGGGCGCAGCCCGCCCCCGCCGTCTCCCCGGCACCCCCTGCTCCCCACTCCGGGCCTCCGGGGCTGCGCCGAGCCCGGCTCTCAGCCGCCGCCGAAACCGCGCGCCCGCGACGAAGTTTGGCTCCGAAGAGGGAGCGGGAGCAGCCCGGAAGGGTAAGGAGAGGAGCGCCCCAGCACCTCAGGGGAACAGGCTCCTCCCGCCGCGGGAGTCCGGGCGTCCTCGGCCTGCGGTGGCGGCTCGGCGGGGACTGGAGCTGCTCCTCAGACCGTCCTCCGTCTCCGCCTCCCCTCGCTCTCCGCTCTCGGAGCCGGGATAACGCGGCGGCCACAGACCGAGAGGCTTAAAATGGCGCCGCACAAGGACCTCTTATAAGTCGCGCAGGAGTCGCTGTATCCTGCCGCCGCCGGCGCAGCGCGGAGCGTTCCGCCGCGCGAGGACAAGGGGCGGGGCGCGGGCGGACGCGGAAAGTAGTCCCCGCGCCG